CCGGGGCGGTCAATCCTGGGCCCGCTCTCCGGCGCGTTGGTCCTTCGGCTCCGCCGATCCTCCTGACCTTCCGGGGACCTCCGCCCGTGATCGCCCCTCGGTTCACGGTCGGGCTGGCGCCTCGTCTCTCGCCCCTCAGGTGCGACTCCGCGTACTCGGGCCCCAGGCTCCAGGGCGGCTCGGCCCCTCGGCGGTCACCGTCCGTCGGCGCCTCTCGCCCGCGCCCCTCGACTCGCCCCGCTCTCCGTCTGGTCCCTCGGCTTCCCCGCGGCCGCCGCCCGCTGGTGTCCTCGCGCTCTCGCCCCTTGTCTCTATCTCTCCTCTCGCCTCTCGGTCACGCCGTCCGTTGGTCCCCTCGCTGGTCCGGTCGGCTCGATGACGCCCGATGGGCGCGATACAAAAAACAAGTTCTCGGGTAAGCGGGCAAGTAAAAAAAAAAGGTGTGGTTGCGACCCCGGGAGGTTTTCCTGCGGCCTCGCGCGGATCCTCTTTTCCCGGGCGGACCGACACCGCGCCTTGGGACGGCAGCGGGGAGCTGGCACGCGGCAGCTAATCCGCCACGTCACATAGCATATAATTTATCTGACGACATGAGAGATAAATGCTTTTCATCGATCTTCATACTCAGAACAGTTTCTCCTCTCGTCTTTAATGCCGATTTTAAGACACAAATTGCATTTACAGTGGCCGACGAAAATTTATTTCGTTTTTTGTTTTGACGTCTGTTAAAATGGAAAATACTCTTCCCGAATCGGCATTTGAATTTGGAAGTGCTCTATTAGCATTCAAGAGGCATTCTAAATTGGAATATTTGATGACATTAGTTGAATATCGATATTGTAAAATTGTTGTCCACATATTATCAAAACTTAATTCAGAGAGATTCTGTTTCTGCATTATTGTAAAATCAGAATGCAATAAAAACCATTCTTCCTTTAAACCCTTTTTATCGAAACCGCCGATGGTTTCGGCTATAAAAGAAATGTCATTGAATGACGTTTCTCTGTCAGTAAATAGTCTGGTAGTATCAGTAAATAATGTATCTGGATGTAAAACTGTTAATTTACATAGAAATGTGTCATTAACCGGCAACCTTTTACGAATTTCTTCGCAAACAGTTACGTAAAATTGTAAACAATTTTTTTTAATAACTTCAATCACGTTCATATGTCCATCCTTCACAATTTATGAAGGTATTCTTCACATTCTGATCCTAAACTAATATCATCTAAGGATTTGTGATTTTCAATGTTCTCAAATTTAATATGAAGTAAATCTCTTAAAAGGTCCGGCTTTACAAAATTTTTAGATATTTGGATTAGAAAATCTAATGATTTCAGCTGCAACAGATGGACTCTTGTTTCCACAGCTTGGAAAACGTATTAAATACATTTAAAAAATTTTAAATGTATTTTAGAAATAGGAAATATGCTTTTGTATCTACATTTTGCATCATACACAATAGATTTTCTGCTGGTTTATTCTTTCCGCTCATAACCATTTCATTAAAAAAATGTGTTAGAGTGTCCCAACATTGAAGAACTCTTTCCACGCATGCGTGGTGAGAGAGCCATCGCGTATCACATAATTTTAAAATTTTGCGATTGTTTTCTTGAAAACATTCACAGAATTCACGAAAAATAGCTGATCGCTTAGGACTACTATTAATATGTATAATTTGCAATTTTTCTTAGAAAAACTTCCTCGCAAACTTTAGGTATCTTAGCAGATGCGGCATGCGCAGCTAATGCGGCAGAATGACACGGGCATGATAATGTTAATACATTTTTGCACATTTTTTCCAATTTTTTCTTAAATGACAAATGTTTCCCAGTCATGACAGACGCGTTGTCGCATGACAAAGCAACAATATTTTGGAAAGGTATTTGGAGCTTACACATTTCACGTTCAAATGCGGTAAATAATTTTTCCGCACTGCAATCTGTCGCATCAAGATCAATTGTTAGATTGAACGAACTTACCTGAAGTGAAGTTCGATCATAATTATGCCCTTTGTCTCGTCCGGATGGAAACTATGTAGTCGTGCTTCCGCACGCCCCTTCGACAACAGAATTCAAAGTACCGCCTAAAAGAAAAGCTCGCACAGGCGCGTGCCTCACGCTGCCACCGCCGCGGCGAGCGTCCCGCTGCCTCATAAGTTCCAATCGTTTCGGCAAGTCGCCACTATTAGGGATGGGAGAAAGAAAATGGGTGGGTGTTCATCCGGACGAGACAAAGGGCATAGTTATGATCGAACTTCACTTCAGGTAAGTTCGTTCAATCTAACAATTATGCCTCTATGTGTCTCGTCCGGATGGAAACTATGTAGCTGTTTATAGCCTGGCGATTTGCCAATGGGAGTAATGTATAAATAATGTTGGGACCGAATTATATTGCCAAGAGTGGCGGTAGGCGAGGCCGCCATGAAAAGAACATCCGGGGTAGGCCGGCAGGAGGCGTAGCGAGCGAAGGGAGAAATCGAGCGAGCGAAGTGCCTTCTTGTGAGTGTGAAAAAAGATCGGTTAGAGTAGAGTCGATTGGCGCTTTGCCCCCGTGCGAGACCTGTAAGAGAGCGGTTCCCGTAATAAAGTTTTCTACAAGAGAAGGAGTGTGGTTCTTCCCGCGAAAATCCTGGTTCGTTCCATCTACTCAGGAAGAGAACGAAATAACCGGCGTCGACGTAAAAACGGCGCAAACATTGGTCCTTCGAGCCGGATGTACCGGAGAGGCGTGGACGAGCTCGAGGCGAAATCCACGTAAATCAAGGGCGATCGGTCACAGGGATCGATCGCCAGGCAGCCGTGGGCTGTACCACAGAAGAACCACCGGGTGCCGTGCACGGGAAGCAACAGGGAAGCGTTACATTAGGCCGACGAGACCATTTCGTCGCGCAGGAGAAGCAACAGCGCAGGGAACGAGGGCGAGCCATTTTGTCTCTCGGGCTGAAACAAAGGCGCCGAGCGAACGAGCCCATTCCATCGATCGGCCGATTCCAAGGCACCAGGCGCGCGAAGCGCACATCGCAGAACCCGAGAAGTCTCACCGAGCTAAGCGGACGAGCCGCTATCCACGTCGAAGGGGGAGCCATCACTCACCCCAACAGCAGTGGATGCATCCGATCCCGGACTACGACCGTCGCGAGACACGAGGAGGCCGAGCGGCAGACGAGTCAACCCACCGAGCGGCCTGGAGGGACGACCGAGCCACCGGGAACGAGACCAACGGATAGGTTAAGCAGATACGTATAAAATAAGATTCCGATCGATACAGTGTTGCGTCGGTATCACATCGGTAAAAAGGGCGCGCGCGATGTTATCCAGCGATACAGTGTTGAGCCGATTTCACATCGGTAAAAGGGGCGCGCGCGATATTATCCAGGGAATACAGTGTTGCGTCGGTTCGTGTTGAAAATAGCGACCGACAGCGCGACTAAATTAGATTACAGGAAGCGCGCAGCGAAAGCGTCGTTAACGCGTTCGGAAACGTACATCAACGAGACGGATCTCGACGCGGTCGAAATCGAAGAAGCAAAAATAAGGCTTGCGAAACTAGAAGAAGCATACAAAACGTTCACGGAAACGCAGATCGAAATCGCGGCGAGCGGCGGCACGGCTTCGGAAGCGGAACTAAACCAGGAATCGGAAGAGGCCGAAAACAAGTACATACGGTTAAAAGTGTCGATGGAAAAAATGATAAAAAGTAAAATGAACAATGCGGACGAGGGAATGCTAGAGCGTACCGTGATTCAGGTGGATGAAGCAGCCAGCCAAAACAATGAGAGATTGCCTGCACCAGCATGCAATGCTCAGATAAAATTGCCTAGAATAGAATTGCCTAAATTTTCAGGGGCATATGAGGAATGGCATTTTTCGATATGTTCGGCTCGCTGATTCATTCTAATAAGGACCTGAACGATACGCAAAGGCTTCACTATTTGAAATCATCGTTGCGAGGTGACGCTGCGGAAGTTGTGTCGTCGCTAGAAATGTCGGGCGAGAATTACAAGGATGCGTGGGATAGGCTAACAGAAAGATACGACAATAAGAGGTTAACGGTGCAGAACCATATCAAGGCCATCTTCGACCTGCCGGTAGTCAAACGTGAGGACGGTACTGCCATTAGGGTGGTGTTAGACGGCATATTAAAACATATTAGGGCCCTGCGAGCGTTGAAGAGACCCACCGATCAATGGGACGATGTATTAATCCATATAGTTTCGAGTAAGCTGGATATGAGGACCATAAGGGAATAGGGAAAATTCAATTGAGTCAGCACAGATTCCCACCTTCGAGGAATTAATCGAATTCCTGAAGAAGCGATGCCAGACGTTGGAGGCGGTAGCCAAGGTAGGGAAATTTAACAAAGCTAATTTTCAGCAGTATTCGGATAACGCGCAAAGGGCAAAGGGTTGTCATGTCGCAGCCACCGCGGTGAAATGCTCGTACTTTCAGGGAGATCACAACGTTTATTCATGTAAGGAATTTAAGGAGTTAACGGTAGACGAACGTGTGAAACACGTGAAGGTTAAGGGCTTGTGCTGGAATTGCTTAAGAGGTAAGCACATGGCGAAGGATTGCTCGTCGGGAGGGTGCAAAACGTGCGCCAAGCGGCATAATTCTCTGTTGCATAAGGAAGGTACCAAAGATGAGTCAGGTCTAAATGCCAATAAAGGGAAAACGAAGGTCGATGCTAAAGGGGAACAAGGGGACAGCGCGGCATGTGGACACGCCTGTTCTATCAAATCGTATTGCTCAACGCAAATGTTATTGTCGACCGTTCTAGTAAAGGTGAAACATAACGATGGTCACTTTATCCAGGTTAAAGCGTTGTTAGATAGCGGCGCGGAGTCGAATTTCGTAATGGAATCTCTAGCCACTGAGGTTAAAACAAAGGAGTTCAAACATAGAAATCACAGGCATCAATCAGCAAATCTCAAAGGCACTGAAAACCGCCGAGGTGGATGTTAGGTCGAGATTCGGGTCGCGCGAGATTAAATTGCAATGCGTGGTCTTGCCTACCATAACGCGAAGAGTTCCTTACGTACGATTAGAAAGGGAGCAGTATATTTAGTATACCGATTTAATATACCGAGCAACATTAGATTAGCCGACCCGCAGTTTCACATCCCTTCCGAAATCGACATAGTGATAGGTACAGAGTGGTTCTGGGACTTGATGTGCGTAGGGCAGATTAAATTAGGCGGGGGTAAGCCAACGCTACAAAAAACGATAATGGGGTGGCTAGTAGTAGGAAAAATTCTGCAAGAGGCACCGGGACGCAAACCACAAACTGCTTGCAATCTGAGCAGTACAAGAATGCTGGACGAGACGCTACGGCAGTTTTGGAAAATTGACGATATCCCAAAAAGGGCGGAAATCAATGAAGAAGATCTAGAATGCGAAGAGTTCTTCAAGGGCACTTACACGAGGAACGCTGAAGGAAGATTTGTGGTACGGTTACCGATCAAGCAGGAAGTCATTGACAAGATGGGTGAGTCAAAGGGCGTAGCAGAGAGAAGATTTCGGTCATTAGAAAGGAAGCTGGAGAAAAACCCGGAATTGAAAGACGAATACGTCAGGTTTATGAAAGACTACAGGGAATTAGGCCACATGAGAGAAATAAACGAACAGTCGGACAGGTGAGGATTTTCCTGCCGCACCAGGCGGTCGTGAGAAACGACAAGAAGTCTACTAAGGTCAGGGTAGTATTCGATGCGTCGAGCCGAGACAATAAAGGGATTTCGCTTAACGACGCGTTGCGCAAGGGCCCGACATTGCAGTCGGATTTGTTTTCCATAATCTTAAGGTTTCGTTGTCATAGGTACGTTTTGACCGCAGATATAATCAAAATGTACAGGCAAATATTGATTCATGAGGATCACACTCCGTTTCGGACAATCTACTGGAGGTAAAACCCGGACGAAGCCATGAAATTATATGAGTTGGTAACGTTGACTTATGGGACGAAGCCGGCCTCGTACATAGCAGTTAAGTGCGTTCAACAGTTAGCAAAAGACGAAGGGAAAAGGTTTCCTTGGGCAGCAAAGGTGGTTCAAGAGGATTTTTACATGGACGACCTCCTAACCGGTGCGATGACCGTGGAGGAGCTTATGGAATTAAAGCACCAGCTAATCGAGTTGTTGAAGCTAGGCGGTTTCGAATTACACAAATGGGGCAGCAACGCTAAGGTTCTAAACGAAGGAGGTACACTTAATCTCGCAGAATTTATCGAGCATGAAGGTGGCCGCGAATCAAAGTTGCTAGGCATAGCCTGGTCCCCGAAAGAAGATAAGTTACATTTCAGGACTCCTGCCCGCGGTAACGATGGCCGTGTTACGAAACGGACGATATTGTCGGAAATCGCTCAATTGTTTGATCCGCTGGGTTTGATGGGTTCGGTAACTACATTCGCAAAAATATTGATGCAAAGCTTGTGGGTTAGCAAGGTAGGCTGGGATGACGTGGTTCCAATGAGCATTCAGAATTCGTGGTTATTATTTAGATCACAGCTAACAGGCTTGAATTATATTGAAATACCGAGATTAATGATGAGCTACGGTGTAAACCAAGCGCGCTTGCACGGTTTCTGTGACGCTAGCGAGAAGGCGTACGGAGCGTGCATCTACCTGGTGAGTGGGGATTCCGAGCAAGGGATTAGTTCGACGTTAATGTGTTCCAAGTCTAGGGTTGCACCTTTGAAAGCTGTGTCCTTGCCCAGATTAGAGTTATGTGGGGCGACGCTATTAGTTAGGTTGATGAATAAAGTGACAGAGGCCTTAGCCACGGAGGTTCTTGAAAGGCATTATTGGACTGACTCTAGAATCGTTCTGGCTTGGATAGGCTCTTCTTCGAGAAGGTGGCAAACCTTTGTAGCAAATAGGGTAGGCGAAATCCAGAACAGCTCCTCCTCAAACGAATGGCATCATGTAAGCTCGCGAGATAATCCAGCTGACTTGATATCTAGGGGGGTGACACCAGCGCAATTGAACAATTCAGCGATATGGTGGGAAGGACCGCGTTGGTTGAAAGTGAAAAATGACTTTGCGAAAACTGATGGCCTTGATGTGGTTCTGGATTCGGTACCTGAGGAGCGCAAGAAAGCGCTAACAGCAATAAGTCTGGTCGACAACCCAGCAATAGATTTTATTAGATTTTCCTCGTACTTTAAGTTGTTACGCGTGATGGCTTATATGTTAAGATTTGTAGGTAAATTTAAGAAGCTAAATATTTCTTATAAGGAAAAAGATATGTGACCGCGGAGGAGATGAGAGTAGCGCGAAATGTGATGGTGAAGGTTGTGCAATCGCTAGCGTGGAAGGACGAGGTGAAGAAACTAAGCAATGGTCAGGAGATTCCGAGGAGCTCCAAGCTAATCACCTTGAGACCCTATCTGGACGAGGAAGGAATGATGAGGGTGGGCGGAAGACTGCACCAATCATCATTAACCGAGGACGCCAAGCATCCGCTGGTGATTCCTGCAGGTCATCATTTCACCAAGCTGGTTATCACGGAAAGACATTGTGAGATGGCCCACGCCGGGCCTGCTACCACCTTGGCAGCGGTAAGGTGCGAATTCTGGCCGATAGCTGGAAGAAGCATAGTCAAGAAACTCGTGAGGAACTGCGTCGTGTGCCGCAAGGCCAATCCGGTCCCGTGTCAGCAATTAATGGGACGGCTTCCAGAGGCGCGGGTGCAAGAATCGAGACCCTTTTTAAGGGTGGGAGTCGACTACTGTGGTCCTTTCATGGTGAGAGATCGCGTTCGACGGAACAGCAGACAATACAAGGCTTACGTGGCGTGGCCGTGTATGCGTGCATGGCCACGAAGGCGGTTCACATAGAGCTAGTGGACGATATGACTACGGACGCATTCCTGGGTTCATTGAAGAGATTTACGGCGAGGAGAGGATTGCCTTCGGACATCTACTCGGATAATGGAAAAAACTTTGTAGGCGTTGAGCGGGAGATCCAGCGAGTTCTCAGGGATCCCCAGTGTTTGGAGAAACTCCACGGGCATTGTGCCAAGAACGGGATAAAATGGCACTTCAATCCTGCTAGGGCTCCGCACTTTGGAGGCCTGTGGGAGGCTGCAGTCAAGACATTGAAACGGCACTTGAAGCGGACCAACGCTTCGCTCACGGTAACGGAAATGACAACGGTTCTGAGTCAAGTTGAGGCTATGATGAATTCAAGACCGATAACACCCTTGTCGGATGACCCTCGAGATCTGGACGGCTTAACACCGGCACATTTCCTGATAGGCGGCTCAATGGCATCGCTACCGGAACCTGACCTGCAGGAGACACCGATTTCCAAGCTGTCTAGGTGGCAGCATGTAGAACTCCTCCGTCAGAGATTTTGGTCACGTTGGCAGACGGAATACTTAGCCACGTGTCAACAACGCTTTAAATGGAAGACTCTGAAGCCGGACGAGTTGCGGAGGGGGAAGATGCGGTTGTCAATGGTTTTTTTGTTTTCTTTTTGTATTGTTTAATTTTCCTTGAAGAATTTGCGAATGCGAGCGCTGACTATGTTAAGCGAAATCCTATAAGTTGCCAAAGCAGATTGTTTTTTATATGTTGAAAACGTGTAACGTTTGTCAAGGCGGGCGGCATGTTGGGACCGAATTATATTGCCAAGAGTGGCGGTAGGCGAGGCCGCCATGAAAAGAACATCCGGGGTAGGCCGGCAGGAGGCGTAGCGAGCGAAGGGAGAAATCGAGCGAGCGAAGTGCCTTCTTGTGAGTGTGAAAAAAGATCGGTTAGAGTAGAGTCGAACGGCGCTTTGCCCCCGTGCGAGACCTGTAAGAGAGCGGTTCCCGTAATAAAGTTTTCTACAAGAGGAAGAGTGTGGTTCTTCCCGCGAAAATCCTGGTTCGTTCCATCTACTCAGGAAGAGAACGAAATAACCGGCGTCGACGTAAAAACGGCGCAAACAAATAAAAACCCGAGGAGCTGTGAGCGAGTCTTATATTACTTAAGGATAACAGATAACTGTAAAAGTATAAAGTATCTTATATGTATAGATGTACGGACAGGTGTCTTGTACAGAAGATAAAACTTGCACGCTTAAGAGCCAAATGGACTTAGAAATAAAATATATTTTTATGGGTGATAATATCAAACTTGGGTATTATGAATATCGATCTTCCTAGCGGAAGAACTTAAGAAAGTAACACTGCGTTGCTAAATTCTTCCTGGTTAAGAAGCGGCCTGTTATAAAAATTAGCAAAGACCCGGGACTCGCCGGTCCAACCTGCGGCGCGTTTAATAATATCGAAAGGGACTCTCTTTAAGGCTGCCTGAGATGTTGAGGCGTGTCGCGTGCTGTGTGCAGAAAAATAGAAGTATTTATGCCACATTCTTCCAGAGCTAGGTGAATCCAACGACCGATAGTTTGTGACGAAACCGCTTTAAGCGGTTTAGAAAAAGAAATGAACAAAAAATCGCATGTAGAATGACGTAACTCCCTGGTAAGTCCTATATAGTGTTCCATGAGACGAACAACACAAAGATTCTCATGGTTTGCAAAACGTGAAAAAAGGAAGAGGGGTTGGGAACGACCCGGTGCTGAAGTTTTTATTCGATCCGGAACGCGAATGATTAACTTCTCCTCCAACGAGATCTGCGAAATTCTTAATAAGCTAAGCGTTTGTGCTCTATGTCCAGTAGCTAGGGCTAAGAGAAGTATCAATTTCTTGGTGATATCTTTCAAGGAAACTCCTTCATATGGATAAATAGAAGATAGCTTAGCTATCACAGGAGCGGGATCCCAGACAAAATCGTACCGCGGACGGGGAGGTCTGAGTACCGAAACGCCCTTACAGAAACGTTTAATCATGGGATGATTGCCGATTTCGTTCTGAGAAATTAAGGAGATCGCTGATCTCGTCGTATTCAGGCATGAATAGGAGGAGATCCTGGGTAGTTCCTGAGCTAAAAATTGTAAGATCTGAGCAACCGACGGTGAGTAGAGCGGTGACCTATTACGCTGGCAAAAATGCCACCAGGCGCGAAGCGAGTAGGAATATTGTTTGGTGGTCGATTCCGATAGGAAGGCTAGTAAGGCTGGAACTGCTGTATCTGGCACTAGGCGGGCCCTGAATGCCTCCCTGATAACTTCGCGACCCCCAGGGAAAGTGCCCTCCATGATGGGGCACTGAAAGGTGATGATAAAAGAGAATAATTAGGAGGTAGAATTAATGGTTTAGAAATTACGAGACGATTAAACAGTGGGGACCAGGGCTGTGAAGGCCACCAGGGCACTATCAGTGTTCCCGTTGCTTTGTCATCAATAATCTTTCTGAGAACGCGTGGTATTAAAATGAAAGGTGGGAAAGCATAGAAGTTTAGTTTCTCCCACGAGAAAGTAAACGCGTCTACAGTAACTAAACCCGGGTCAGGAAACCAAGAAGCGTACAAATCACATTTGGCATTTATTGAGGACGCAAACAAGTCTACATCAAAAGGACCAAAGGCTCTTGCCACCCGACGAAATGCGATGGCCGACAAAGACCATTCCGTGTCAGGATCCGAGGTTCTAGACTCGGCATCTGCAATATAGTTTTCTAGAGATGATATGTAAGAGGCGAACAAGAATATATTACGGTTCTCGCACCAACGCCAAATTTGTCTAGAAATCTCAGAGAGATGAGGAAATTGAATCGAGCCAAACTTATTAATGTAGGCTATCGCCGTGGTATTGTCAATGCGGAGTAAGATGTTGCAGTCGTGAAGATCCGCTGCGAAGCACAGCAGGCCGTTAAAGGCCGCTTTAAGCTCTAACGAGTTTATGTGAAGGGACTTTTCATCCTCAGACCACCAGCCATGAGTGCGCCCCTCACGGCAAGAAGCCCCCCAGCCGTTCAAAAACGCATCCGTGAAGATTTCTCGCACGAATCTGCCAGAACGGATCTTATTCGCCTGCCTGGAATTGGAAAATATGTTGATCCACCATTTGAAATCTTCCTGGAGGTGTGGAGAGATATCCATTCTTGCTGAGTACTCCTCCTTGTTTCTGACAAGAGCTAAGAACTTTTCTCTTTCGAATCTTTTTGTATAAAGCAGTCCATATTGAACTGCAGGGCAGACTGAGACGAGAGACCCAATAAAACTGGCAAATTCTCGAATAGAAGACCTTGTCTTACGGGCTAACGATGTTGTTAACTCTAATAATTTTGCCCTACGTGAAGGGGGGATCGCAATGGATGGTTCCATTGAATCAAAAATGAAGCCTAAATATTGGCATCTATATGATGGTACTAACTGCAATTTAGCAAAATTCACAAATCCCAAAGATTGAAGAAGGTTAACCGAAGCATAAACGTTGGCTCGACATTCTTCGCTGGACGAGCCTAAAAGGAGGAAATCGTCTAAATAAATTACTGATTGGTAGGCTCTTATACGGAGATGGGCAAATACAGGCCTAAGAATCTTCGTGAATATGTAAGGCGCTGTGGACAGGCCAAAAGGCAGATCCGTGAATTCAAAGGTCTTATTACGCCATTGGAAACGAAGAAACTTTCTATGTCCCTCAAAAACTGGGACTAACAGATAGGCATCTTCCAGATCGAGGGTTGCCATGTGCGTTCCCGGAAGCATGAGGCGAACCACGGTGCGTCAATCCTCTAATTTGAAGTGTGGAGGCTCGATGTGAGAATTGAGGTCACGCAGATTTAAGATAAAACGTTTACCTCCTGACGACTTATCTATCAAGAAGAAAGGGAAAAGGAATTGATTGTTGCTAAGTTCAACCGGTACGATGGCCCCTTTTTCCCTCAGGCGTTCTATCTCCCTATCGCGAGCTAGCGCAGCTGATAGTGATAGGTTGGGTTCAGCCAGACGAGCCCTTGATGGAGGCGAGCTAGAGAAAGGGATGTGGTAACCTCTTGTAGCACTCAAAACTACAGGGTCAGAGGTGATACTTGACGAAGATTCGTAAAATTTCTGCAGACGACCGGCCGAACTTACGTTGCTTATGGTGCCGGCGAGATCTGGATTGAGGCCGGGAGCGGTAGTGTTGGCTCTGATGATAGTGAGCCCCTGTTCGGCGAGTCGACGATGGACGGGCAGGGGCTTTCCGGTTTCCCGGAATCCTAGATGTTTGCTGGTGAACTCGATGTTGAGCTGCCTGGTGAACCGGCTGTAACGTCTTCTTTCCTACCGGAGGGGCTGATTCAGGAACCTCCCGGCCAGTCTTTTCGCAGACCTGGGCTGCCCTAAGCGTTTCGGCAAAGTTTTGCCCGAATAGAAACTCGTCGATCGGAGCTGACTCCGCGGCGTTCTTGCCAAGGATGTTGAGAGAGGGCTTGGTGAAAGCTCTCCTCGTCAGTGAGAGACGGTAGTGGTGATCCGCTAGCAGATGAATGCCCTCTGAGAAATTTGTCAGAGCCGATCTTGTTTCGTCCTTAAGATCTTGCAAAATTTCCGGTTTCAGCAAAAGCGACATGCCCGAGCCGAGGGCATTCAGGCAAGCAGCCACCTGAGCCTGTGAAGACGACTGATATTCGTCCCGTTTAATGACCGACTGGGTCAGTGCCGCGACTAGCTCCTTGTTCAGCTTTGGTGGGGCCAGCACTGTTAGCTCGCCCTTAGGCTCATATTTAGACAGCAGAGTAGAGCGCATCTACGTATCGAGACCGCTTCGCGATTCCGTTTGAATTGCATTCAGAACCATAGGATTCCAGGAGGATGATGTAGGAGGTGTCTGAGTTCCCCCGAACAGTTCGTTAGCCAAGGTATACGCCACGGGAACAGCTTCCGGAGCCTGAGATTCCGGAATGTCTGCAGTAAGTGGGTCGGCAAAGGATACGTTACCCGTTGGTCTGTAACTCGCCTTGTCGATGCTAGAAATCGTCGGCGTAACTGTATATGGAGAATGAGACAGAATAAGAATCATATCGGTTACGTCCTCCCTTTGCCAGATACCAGGGGGGGGGGCTGGGTCAACGGGAGGACATACCTGGTACAGGGCCTCAGTCTGCTTGTGCGACCGTGTGTTCTATTATATTCTGCTCTAAGGTGTTAATTGCTGCTAAGGGTGATGCTGAGCCCGCATCCTGTGGCGATATAGCCTCTACCGTCGAACGCACCTGACGCCTGTCTAGGTTATGTGGGCTGTTGCGGCTCGCGAGAAAATCTCGAAATTCACCGAGAATTTCACTATATCTTCCCTGGATCGGGAACGCCGCACCGAAGAGTCCCTCGATGAGACGTTGTCCGATGAATAAATGTCCTTAGATTTCCCCTTCATTTGCCTCTCTTTCCGAGCACGTTCGCGCGATTTTTCCCTTGAGGAATGTTTACGAGACGGACTTCTGTACCTGGAATGTCTCGAAGAAGAGCTCTTTCTCGCGCTTTTATGCTTACCCAAGCAGCAAAATAGGACGAAATTACGTTTATTTGACTTTCTGATAGGTTGAAAAGTCTGTTCGACCAAGCCCAATTTATGTTGTATCGACGTCGAAAGAAGATAAGTGGGGAATAAAGTAGAAGTAATTTTACGGTTGAAATTAGGTAACGTAAGGTATGTCGCCCTATAAGTCATAGTCTGATTTTGTGAAATGGACCTAGCAGAAGGTCGAATATCAGGCACATCTTGGTAATTTTGACCAAATTGTACCCTCTTTCTTTTGGCGATACAGCATTTTTTTGTGTCTACCAGTGCTGCCACATCATGAAATATATTCCACACTAGTTCTATCTACACGAGTGTCCATGGTACAATTACAACGTATAGTTCCAACCAGTCGTAGAAACCCGGAATAAAATATTGACAGAGTCCATCAGTACTGCAGTTTTGAAACTGAATATCGTGTACCGTGTGACAGAAATATAAGTGCGAAAGAAAATTTTCTGTACAGATTTTTATTTTACTACGCTAAAACCAACGCGCTTTCGAAAACAAATAATTTAAGCAATTATGAAATAATCGTTAATTATTTAACAATGTGTTTTGCATTTGGCACAATAAAAATATTTTAATCTTATATTTCTGTGAAAAGTAATCGTGAAATAGGTTTTCTTTTATCCTTAGTCACTTCGAGAGATATAATATAATTTAGTCGTCATGGCTTCCGGATGGTTGCCGCGTCCGTTTGCAGTGTGGTGCCGACGTTTCGCAGGCGTTGCAGTCTGCTTCATCAGGGCTGGGAGACTCTGATACTGAGCTCCCTCGCGTTGCGCTCGTCCTTTTATACTCGTTCTTGGGGGGAGGGAAGGGGGGTGGTCAGGGGGAGGGGGTGGTCA